AAAACTCAAGGGAATCTTTTGTGCTTATGAAAATGTTCAATATTTTTATTGTGATGTTAGCTACACTGGTGAAGATATGAAGGGGAATTAAAAGATAATGGAATTTTTCAAAAAAGAACCTGGAAGGAATACACAGAGTCACTGTGCCAAAAAGAATTGGTTGCTATTCAACCATTTCAGGAGGTAGCATATGATCAAGAACCGATGGTGTTGAAGAAAGGAGTTGAAGCTGCACTGAAGGCACTGGTGAAAACAAGGCTCCAGGAATTGACAGAATACCCACTGAAACGTCTGAACCAACGGATGCAGTGCTGGAGGCTCTCACTCGTCTATACCAAGAAATGAGGAAGACAGCTCCCTGGCCAACCAACTGGAAGAAATCCATATTTGTGCCCATTCCAAAGAGAGGTGACCCCACAGAATGCGGAAACATACAACTGCAGTGCAGTGAATTGTCTGCATTTTGTGATGTATTTGCCAGTCCTGCTTGGTAAAGTACAGAGTCAGCGACCTAGAGGGAGCCCCTCCAGAAGATGGACTGGTGACAGCAGCAGTGGGCTCAGTCATAACAGCGAGTGTGAGGATGGCACAGGACAGGGCAGTGCTTCCTGCTCTTGTATGTCAGGTTGCTGTGAGTCAGAACCGACTCGGTGACACCTAACAACATCATCATCAAGGGTCACATTTCCAAACGGCCCCATTCATGAGTATAGAGGTTAGGAGCTCATTTTTCTTGGGTGATGAAGGGGTCACAATTCAATCGATTAATCACACAAACCAAACCAGTTGCTATATAGTTGGTGCCAACTCAGAGTAAGCCCACGCGTTACAGGGCAGAACTGTGCTCTGTATGGTTGTGCTTTTTGGGTTTTTTTTCAAATAGTACTGTGTTTTTAGTGAAGGTTTACACCACAGTTTAAGGTCCCCTTCAACTATTTCTACACAAGTTTTTCGGTGGCAGTGGCTACATTCTTCACAGTTCATGACTGTTCTTGTCTTTCTGGGGGTTTGACCTGGCCTTGGTGCCAGGTCACCTCCCGGAAGGATTCTCAGTTTTGTTGCCACAACAATATGCGAGCCGTTTCCTCACAGGTGACCCAACTATCTCCCATCACCACCCTGGGCAGGACTCATAGTCTTCTGGAAGGAACCTCCATTTCCTCTGTGCCGTGGGGTCAGTGGAGCCCACGTGCCGAGTGTGGGGTTGAATGAATGGTCTGGGGCCCAGTGTGTGTAGTGCCAGCCGCTGCTGCCGTCTTCCTTGTCATCCCAGGTCACGTTACGCCCTGTTAGCCAGGAACTTGGAGTCTTGCCCTCCTGACTCCTAGCCAGTTCTTTCTGCTTCTCTGAAGGAGTCCTAGCAGATAAGTAGTGAATTCATAAAACTGAGCAAATCTGACTGGTCAGGGGCTCCTGTGCTGGTTTTCTGAACACTGTCTGGCCTCATGGCCCTTCTGGTTGGGGTGCTTAGCTGGTTTCTCACTGTGGCCCTGAAGCAGTGTTTGATTCTCCCTTGTTCTAGGTTTGCCTTCAGAGGCATAAAAACGTTCTTACCTTTTGATTCTGAAATTTATTCTGAGGAAACACTTCAGCTATTCAGAAATGAACTTCAGCTATTCAGAAATGTGTTCAAAGATGTTTATCAGTATTATAGTGTGTTTCTGTCCGATAAGCATTAGACTACTAACCACAAGGTTGTCAGTTCTAACCCACCAGCTGCTCTCGGTCTCCTTATCAGGGTCACTATGGATCGGAACCGACTCAATGGCACACACAACAACAACAGATTATGTCCAACTAGGGCTGTGGCTAAATCAGTGTGGCCTACCTGCTGGCTGGGACAGCGGCCATGGGAAGTGATGTCACAGGGACCCTGGAGGTGACCTGTTATGCCGCAGCAGGACATGAAATCAGGATTGGTCGGGATGGCATCACACAGCAGTAAAGGGACTGGAAGGAGATGCATACAGCCAGCAGACCTCCGTGCAGACAGCCACCCCATCGTGAAGTGGATGGTTTTCTCTCCCGACTTTCTTGTCACTGCAGACCTTTCCCTTGGGTGTGACTGGGGCTTGATGGCTCTGGACTGTCAATCCCAGTAGAGCCCACGTGTGGTGACATGAGGTGCCTTCGAGTCGATTCTGGTACATAGTGACTCACAGGGGTGCAACAGAATGAAATACTCCCTGGTCCTGTTCCATCTCACAGCCATTGCTGCGTGGGAACCCAGTGTGGCCACCACTCTGTCAATCTATCTCATTAGGTGTCCTCCTCTTTCTTCACTGACCCTCTACTTAAGCAGTCATGATGTCCTTTTCCAGGGTGGGACATGTCCCTCCTGATCACATGTCCAAAGTGTGTGAGATGAAGTCTCAGCATCCTTACTTCTCAGGAGCATTCTAGTTGTACTTCGTCCAAGACAGGTGTGTTCATTCTTCTAGCAGCATGTGGTACTTTCAGTATTCATCATCACCACCGTTGTTCAGAAGCATCAGTTCTTCCGTCTTCCGTATTCATTGTCAAGCTTCCATATGCATATGAGACAACTGGAAAAACCAGGACTTGGGTCAGGTGTACCTCAGTGACATCTTTGCCTTTAACACTTTAAAGAGGTTGTTTGCAGCATATATGCTCAATGCAATACTTGGTATGATTTCTTGACTGCTGCTTCCATGAGCATTGATCATGGATCCAAGTAAAATGAATCCTCACCAACTTCAGTTTTTTCTCTGTTTATCATCCTGCTGCATATTGGTCCAGTTGTTAGTGTTTTTGTTTTCTTTATGTGGATCCAGGCTGTAGTCTTTGATTATCATCAGTAAATCCTTCAACTCTTCCTCATTTTCCAGTAAGCAAGATTGTGTCATCTGCATAGCACAGGTAGTTAATGAATATTCCTCCAGGTCTGATGCCTTGTTCTTCATGTAGTCCAGCTTCTCCGATTATTTGCTCAGCATATAGATTGAGTAAGCATGGTAAAAGGATACAATCCTAATGCACACCTTTCTTGATTTTAAACCACGCAGTATTCCCTTGTTCTGTTTGAACAACTGTCTCTTGATCTATGTACAGGTTCTGCATGAGCACAATTCAGTATTCTGGAATTCCCATTCTTCACAATGTTATCCCTGATTTGTTGTGATCCACACAGTCGAATGCCTTTGCATAGTGATTATGACACAAAGTAAACACCTTCCTGTAATTCTCTGCTTTCAACCAAGATCCATCTGACATCAGTGATACTCCTCATCCCATGTTGTCTGCTGAATCTTGTTTGAATTTCTAGCAGCTCCCTGCCAGTGTACTGCTGCAATTGTTACTGAATTATCGTCAGCAAAATTTTCCTTGCGTGTGATATTAATGATGATAAATCATTTCCACGTTCCATTGCATCACCTTTCTTTGGAATGGGCACGAATATGGATCTCTTCCAATCATTGGCCAGGTAGCTAGCTGCCTTCCAGTTTCTTGAAGGCTCTGGGAAAACCTGGAAAAGAACTGTCTCTCGGAGGTCATCCTTGGGATTGTAGGTGCAGCCAGATCCATCCAGGTGTAACTTGCAGGTGCACTGCTGGGGCCTTTCAGCCCTGCTCCCTCCTCCACCTGGCCAGTCTTGGGTGTGGAGGTGCATTTTTGCTGTGGGCGGGGAGGTACATTCTTTGCTTCTGGTGCAAGCTAATCTCAGCTCCCCATCCTCTGGCAGCTTACAGAGTGCCTCTGGTGGCTGGGGGCGCCAGCCCAGAGGGATGGCGGGGTCCTGGCAAGCCCAGCGCCCAGAGGATCCTATTTCAAATCAAGTCTGTCACCAGAGGGCTCACAGGCTGGGGCTCGTTGGCTGCCCAACCTCCACTCCTCCCGGAGGTGCAGCTGCCTCTTAGAGAGAAAGTGTCGGCACCAAACCCAGGAGATATTTTTTTGGCATCTTTATTGCCAGAACATCAAGTTTTATGAATGCCTTTTTAGCATGTTCTCTACATATCCTAAATCCAGTCCTTTCTCCGGCAGGGCTGCACTTGCTGTTGACCCCGGCAAGGCCCAAGTCCCCATCGGCCTGGCTGGTTCGTGAGCCCACAGGCTGGGAGACTTGTCTTGGTTCTAACAGGTGCTGGGCCCTCCTCTCACCCCACTCTCACCTGCTGCCAGACCCGCAGGCCTGGGGCCGCCTCTGTCTTCCCCTGTTGGCCTGTACTTGGGTGTTTTGTGATTGTGAGTTGCCGTGGAATCCAGCCTGACTCATGGCGACCCCATCTGTGCAGAGTAGCAGAGTGCATCTCCTCTGCAGGGCTTCCAAGGGTGGGGCCTTTTGGAAGCAGGTCACTAGGCCTCTGGGTGGGTTTGAACTGCCTATCTTTTGGCTGGTGGTGGAGCACTTAATCATTTGTGGCACCCAGAGGTTTTCCATACTGTTGCTGTGAGCATGTTTGTGTTCTTCCTCACTGACTGAGAAACAGCGTGTGACTGGGAGGTGGGGCGCTAACGGGGGCTTTGGAGTATCCCTGAGGACTGGAGTGTATCCTTTCTGAGCCCCAGCTTCCAGAGTGGCCAGCGCAGGGACCACTGGAGGGTAAACTGCTCTATGGAATGACGTCCCTGACCTTGCTGTGGAGGGGCCTGTCCCTGCTGGGTGGGAGGTGGGAGGACAGGACTTAGCTCTCAGTCATTCATGGGAACGCTTGGCTCCTAAACACTCAGGAACATACCACCTGTGGTTCCCTCTTCCAGAGCCAGTGTCAATGCCTAATCTGACTTGGAGGTTTGTGTGGGGTCAGCAGCCTCGCCCTCCTGCCTCACCCTCCCTACCTGGGGTCGGGTTAAGCCCTGCGTGTCCTTCTGGCCTTCTGCCCTCCCTCAGTGTGACCCACCCCAAGGGCACCCTCTTGGCTGTCTAGAGTGAAGCAGACTCTTCAGATAGGTCGGCCCCCAAAGGCCCTTGGGGGTCATCTCTGTGTCTGGGGTGCCCCTGCAGTTGAGCTGGCCCTCTGACACTGTCTCTGGTTCAGTTTCCAGGCGGAGCGGCCGGCACTCAATGTGGTCATCTTTCCCCTGCTCCACGAGGGCCTGACCGACGTCATCCGGGACGTTCCCCTGGTACACCTGGACGAGGTCACCTTGTTCAAGAGCAGAGTGGCCGAGGAGCCGCCCAACCTCTGGTGGTGAGGGGCCACACCGGGGGCTGCCCCCTCGCCCCAGCCCGTGACTGCTACCACCTCAGCCAGGGGAAAGGACCAAACAATCGGCAGGAGGCCCGGATCCCCACTTCATCCTCCCTGCACTGTCCTCCTCCCTCCTGCTTCCTCTGTGGTGATGTTGCAGCTGGAGGTTTCTGATTGGAGGTTATGAGGAGGGTCCAGGGGCCTGGGAACTTAGACGGGGCCATCATGATCCGAGACATGTATCCTCACAGTGAGTCCCTGACCCAGTCCCTGGGGAGCTGTGTGGTCCTTGTCCCCATAACCTCTGAGCCCCACAAGGCCACGTGACTGTGCTGGGAGTATGGGGTGCACATGAACTCTTCCTGGGGGGCCCAAACCACCATGTCTGCCCCACAGTGGCATGCTTTGACAGGATGAGCCCCACACACCTTCAGAGGTGCCTGTTCATTAGGACAGATGTGACTCTAGGGTCTTCCAGGCAGGTGGTCATCAGACGTGGCCTCTTGTCCCCCCACAAGAGACCCTGACCTGTTTTGAAATGCCCTGGTTCCTTTATGAGCATCGAAGCGTGAGGGCATCCATGCCATACACACGTGTGCACACGCATACACATACATGTACACACTTGACTTCAGTAGCATAACTTGAGCTATTAAAACCATGGAAGAAGGCGGACGACCTGGGGAGCAGCCAGCTTCCTCCTTTTCATTTCACTCCATTTAGCACTTTAAAAACCTGCATCATAGCAATTTCAGAAATCAGTCACAGCTCCTGTGCTGAGGTCTGACCCATGCCAGGCATGGTGGTGTGGCCTTTCCCAGCCTGGGGACTCTGAGGGGGGCCGAAGGTCGGTTTCCCTTGCACACCTGGCTTTGCCTCAGCCCTTGTGGGATCTTTTGGGGAGTGTGGGTCTGGCAGGTTCCCGCTCAGGGCACCTCAGCCTCTAGAGGACTGTTCCAGCTGCAGGGCTGGCCTGTCCCCCTGGGACTTGGCTGCCACAGCCTTGGGACTACGCTGGCTGGCTTCTTGCTGTATTTCAGTGGGACAGTGTGCATGGTCCTGATTTGACCTTGCAGGAAGGAGCTAGACAAATGATACTCAAAGCGCCTCTCACCCCAGCTGAGGGGCTAAAGCCCCCACTGAGGGCCTGACACCCCCCAAGGGACACAGAGCCATCCTATGGGCTACAGGACAGGCTGCCCAGGGTCCCTGTGGACGAGGGCCTAGGGTGCTGGACTTTTCTCCCACCCCGTTTCTAGACATTTCTATCAGACGTTTAAAGGGGCACCTGGTGAGTCCATTGGGAGCAGAGACCAGTCTGCTTGTCCTCAGAGCAGTGACAGTGGATAGGAACAGCCTGCAGACCCCCAGGGCCATCCACTGCTCTGGACACTGCAGCTCTCACGTCTCCTTCCACCTGGAGCCTTCCCACTCTATCTACAGAACTGCCTTTTCCTGGGAACGGATCGGAAAGGCTGGGGTCTGTTTGTACAGTGGTGGCTGGGTGGCCTGTCCCCTGAGCAGCATTTTAACCAGCAGTGTGATTTATGCTGACAGCCAGGGCGGGGGCTGTGTTCAGAAGCTGGGGAGCAGCCCCCCATGGTAGCCCTGGCTTGCTTGGCGTCCCTGCCACAATCCTTTTACTTAGAGCGAGAATTCCCGTTGCCTCGATACTCGAGCCGGATTCACCAGATGTTAATAATGTGCTTATTCTCGCTAAGTGCTGTTTTGGCACCGGTGTTAATTGCAATTTATATTCTGCAGCATTTTATGCTGGGAAAGAGCCCACCCGAATGGCCCCCAGTTGGCAGGAACGGGCTGTTACGCGGCGGACCATATGCTACTAGCTGAGGGAGATTTGGCCTTTGCCTGGTCAGCAGTAGCAGCTGCTGTGTGTGTGTGTGAGTGTGTACACAGTGTGTGTGTGTACGCAGTGTGTGTGTGTGTGTACACCTTTGATGTGCTTTCATGAGTGTGTATGAGCACATGTGAGGGTGTGCATGTGTGTGTGTCGAGTGTGGCACATGCAGGCACATGCATGTATTGTGTGTTTGTGCGCGAGAACAGCGCATGGCTGAGGGAGGGGGCTTCAGGGCATTTTCCCTATCTCCCCTGCGCTCATGGCTCTCTCCAAGCACCACAGCAAGCCCGACTTCTGAGGGGCCCCAGAGAAGGCATGAGCCTGAGGAACGCAGAACCAGAACGGGACGTTTCTATACCCAGCAAGATTTTTATTGTTTCCATGTGGGAGCAACTGTTTTCAGTAAACACATTGCGGGTCTGGGAGGCCCTTCTTTATGAGAGCCTCAACCACCGCCCAGACCAAGACTCCGGGGGCTTTTCTCCACTCATCTTCCTACACATTGGCCCCACATGGTCCCTTAACACAGACCATGGGGATGAAAGCTGGGTGAGGGTCTGGGGCTCTGGGGCTTGTTGGAAAGCCAGGCCCTACCCTAAACCCAGCCCTAGGACTCAAGTGCTGTGGTGAGCAGACCTGCAGCCACAGTGCTTCCTCCCTGTCCCCTGGAAATACCAACATCAAGTGACCAGGAGGAAGGAGGTGGTGCCACGTGGCCCTCCTGGATGTCCACCTCATTTCCTCTGTGATGAGACCCCAGCCTCACTGTCTTGCTTCTGTCAGGGTCAGAACATTGCTGAGCGCTCATGAGTCAGGATGAAGCCGGGTGGTGCACATGGGCTTGGCTGAGGGTCCCAGCATTTCTGCCTTGAGGCCCACTGATTTAAATTCATCAACCTGGGGAGGGAGACCCCTGTGCGGTCACTGATCTCTTCAGCATTTGTGGGTGCTAGGTTCCCAGTAGAAGATCCCCTGATGTCTGAGCAGTGTGAACACACACCATGTGGGACATTTTGAAATCCGGAGTCCCACAGGCCCAATGCTGTCTAAATCCGCCTACTTTGTAGAGCTCTTCCTGAAGATCCCGACCTAAGGGCCTTGCCATTGATGTCACAGGCTCAGCACTCAGAGATGAGGGAGGCCCAGGACGGCACAGCGCGGCTCGGTTAGGGAGCTTACCATCAGGCTCACAGACGTGACTTTGAGGCGCCACTGTTGAACCCCGTGCTGTGAACTTGTGCTCACTGGTGTCGAGCGTGTGGGTAGCAATGAAGTGTGTGTTGGTGTAGGTGTTGAAGTGGGCATGAGGTGTGTGTGAAAGGGTGGGCACGTGATGTGTTTCTGCTCCCGAGTGTGTGTACAGCTGTGTGTATGTGGCATGCATTCATGTGTTTATGGGAGGCTTTTGTTTATATGTGTGTCGGGTGGGTAGGTGAGGGGGATGTGTGCACTGGTGGGTGTGTAAGGGGGTGGGCGTGTGTTCATGTGTGTGTGTTCATGTGCGGTCCTGTCTTCCTCCCTGCCACTATGGATGATGTCTCCCCTCAGCCCTGCACCCAGCCCCTCCTCTGCCCCCTGCTGCTCCCCGTCCCTGTGTGACTGACTAGAAACCAGTTGGGTTCAGCATGGACATGTCTAGGTGAGGGCCAAGACTTGCCAGGCCAGAGGCTCCCACTGCTCCTGACGAGGTGCTAAACGGCTGAGCATCCTGCCCCGCACAGGCCTCACAGTGAGGCTCACACCCAGTTTTCATGGTCACAGTAGCAAACGCCATCCTGAATGGGAACGTCATGTAAATTTGTGGCATGTGAAACATTTCCAATAAAGTGAAATGGGTTTAGAGAACCTGCCGCCTGTGGCCTTTCTGGTGGGAGCACTTTCCTATGCCTGTTGTCTGTCCCTTTGTGACCCCCAGGGTCATGGCAGAACTCAGTAGATACAGGGATGGGCTTGGAAACAGATTCCTGGGGAGGGATGGGGAAGGTGGCCAGGCACCGGGTCCTGGCATGGCCCTGCACAAGGGTGGATACAGAGCTGCTGGGCAGGTGGACCTGAGCTCAGCTTGGTTACATTCAGGGCCCCGGGGGCAGCAACGGTGTTAAACTGAAGCTTCTTCACCAGACTTGGGCTGTCCGTGGAAACTCGGTCAGGGGATGTCAACTGAGGCAGGGAGACCAGGGCAGGTGGGCAGATGCCAGGGCAGGAAGTGGACCCGAATGGAGGATAACCAATGTCAGAGGAGGTGTCCAGCCCGAACCCTCGTGTGGAGGAGCTTAGGGCCTGGGAGAACTCACGTTCCACACCTTGTGAGCAGATGCCCATGTTTTGTAGGGAGCGCTGCATCAGGGGAAATAGCCATCACGAAATACGGAGAACTTTCCCTGGCCCCCGAAAGGTTCAAGATTGCCCTCACAGTTTGAATGATTTGCAGGTTTAAAAAAATAAACAAAAGAACCTCAATTTAGCTGTTCTTTGTAGCTGAGATGAAAAAGGCCAGAGCCCTGGGTTTGAAGGTTTTGTATTCAAAACCTTGGGATTCAAGGCTGCAAGAGGGAGGGACACAGGAATGAAAAACTTTGATTTTTGCTGGCAGCTCAGCATGAAATCGTGACCAATACGGAACTTTCTGGATTGCTTGGGAGAAAGTTGAGGGGTCCTACCTTAGCAGAGCAAGAAAGGGTCTCAGACCATTTTACATGCCTCTCTTGTTTAGCAGACAGCCCAGATTGGAAGTCAGGCTTGTGGATAGTGTGTGTGTCTTTCAGCTTTCTGGTCTGGGGGGGCCAGAGTTACATGGAATAGTCGCTGGACATGAGTTTTGCCACTTGGCCCCGTGTTAGGGACAGCACAGAGTGGAATAAGGGGCTACTGGCTGAAGGCAAGAGTGGGCCCTCCGAACCCGAGTTAATTCTGCTCCCTTCTCAGCCACCTCCCACCTCCAGGCCTTGGGTAAACGGACTCCAGGGATATGAGGGGACTTCAAAAAGTTCATGGAAAAGCAAAAAAGATAGCGGAATTTTCCTAGTTTTTTAAAGCTGCCTGGTATGTGTGGTAGAGAAAACGTAGACAGGGCTCATGGTTCCCAAGTATCCACCACATGGCACGTTCTAGAATGTTTGGGAGAATGATACCACTCCCACCAC